TTTTTTTTTTTTTTTTGTGACTATTTTAGTACACCGATACAAATTTGGAAAATCTTTTAACAGAACATTATGACAACATTTCAAGAGTTTAAAAAGTTGATACTATAGGGGAGGTCTCGCAGAAAAGTAGAAAAGTAGAAAATGTCGTCTTATTCAAAACCCCTTCTCTCCCACTTTTTTCTCTCACTTCACGGTTCTTTCTAGAGAGGTGTTTTCACATCTTCTTAACCCAAAATGGCAAATGGCTAGGGAGAGGAAAAGTTCCTTTTTTTAGGGAACAGATCCGGTGGAGACAGGATGGGGCTTGTAGCTCAGATGATTAGAGCACGTGGCTACGAACCACAGTATCGATGATTCGAATCTCCAAAACCCAAAAATAATTTTTTATATATTCGTATATTTTCTCACATCTAGCACTAAACCCAAATCTAATGTCTATACAAAGTTGTTAATTCAAGAGAGAAGGATAGAGTTTGGTGTACTAAATCAAGAGAATAGTCATCAAAGCCTTGGTTCCAACATAGTGTTCTATCAGAAGCACTTCTTCCATTTAGCTTTCCTTGAAGTGATTAATATTTGTGTAATATAATTGGAAAAAAAAAATAAAGAAAAAAGAATAATCAATAAATGAGTGGCGGTATGTTATTTCTCAAGTATATGATCGAGGATATGTCTACGTTTAGAAGATCGAGAAGGATCTGATCGTGTCGTTTTTACTTGACTCACTTCCTGTTTCCTCAACGATAGCACTCCACTATTGAGATTAAAATTCTTTATTTTCAACGATTAAAAATATTCATCAATATGTCAATATATTTAAAAATCGAAGGATTAGATATTAGTACTTTTACCTGTTAAATTTTTTTAATTTAATAATGTCTCAATATTAGTTTTCAGCATGAACTTTCTTTCATTATGTTGTATGTGATGAAGAAACAATTAATAACGTCAAAAAGTCTAGCACAAATGATATAAGCATGCATATGGTAATAAACTTGAGTTGGTCTAAGGTTTTAGAGAGTCGGATTGCCCTAAATAACATAAACATACATCTAACAAACTTGGGTCGAATTAGGGTTTTAGAGAGTCGGGTCATTACGAAAAAATCTAGCCATAAATGACGTAAACGTGCCTATGGTAATGAACTTGAGTCAATCTAGTAGCTATAAAAAATTACCATAATTGGTAGAGGCGATTGTGCTTTAAAATTAAACAATATGAGAGGTAATAATTTTTCGATAATGAAATGAATAAAAAAAAAAAAACTCACAATAATAAATATTTATATATGAGAGGTAATTTAGAGTAATGTCGAGCAAAGCTAAAGTGATATTGCGTAGCTGTAATGAGGAACGAGTCTCTTTATTTACAAGTTTCTTTTCCAATATTTAATCAATTGGAATTTTGAAAGGAAAGATTCTATGCACGGACTCGAGAAGCTTATTTTTTTTATGAGTAGTTGGTCATCCTTCTCGATTCGACACGTGTGAAACCGTACAAAAGAAGGCTAATGTTAAAAAAATATCTTCGATATTATCAATAAAATATCTGGGTAATATTGTAATTATTGTGATATAAGCCTAAGTCGATTAATTAAGTATTATGACTTTCTTAAAGACGGTAAGTTTGAATCCTCATCCTTTATTTTGTATATATGTTTGTAACAGTTGGTCTAAAAGAGGATGCCGATACGAATACATTATTGCATAGAAGACGTTAACTGAACCAGATCAAGGGTAGTAAACGAGTACGACTAGCGTTCTTTGGTTGGTCCTGTATCAAGGGTACTACACGAGTACGACTGACCTTCTTTGGATAACCCTGTATCAAGGGTACTATACGAGTACGACCAACCCTTCTTTGGTTGGTTCTGTATCAAGGGTACTAAACGAGTACAATTGAGCTTCTTTAGCTAACCCTGTATCAAGGGTACTAAGACTGACCTTCTTTGGTTGGTCCTATATCAAGAGTACTACATGAGTACGACTGACCTTCTTTGGCTAACCCTGTATCAATGGTACTATACGAGTACGACCAACCCTTCTTTGGTTGGTTCTGTATCAAGGGTACTAAACGAGTACAATTGACCTTTTTTAGCTAACCCTGTATCAAGGGTACTAAGACTGACCTTCTTTGGTTGGTCCTATATCAAGGGTACTACACGAGTACAACTGACCTTCTTTGGCTAGCCGTGTATCTTAAGGGTACTAAACGAGTACAATTGACCTTCTTTAGCTAACCCTGTATCAAGGGTACTAAGACTGACCTTCTTTGGTTGGTCCTATATCAAGGGTACTACACGAGTACAACTGACCTTCTTTGGCTAGCCGTGTATCTTAAGATCTTAAGGGTACTAAACGAGTACGATTGACCTTCTTTAGTTCGCCCCGTCCCTTACAACAAGGGTAACTCGTACGTACCTTGTCCTACGGTTTGGCCTCTCTATAACCCTAGCTACCATCATGATCTTATAAACTCTCTCTCTCTCTAAAATGGATAG